GGGTTAGAAGACAAAGTTGACGACGGAGGGTGGTAAAAGTACCGAAATTCGTTTGTATCTAATGGCAGAATGAAAATTCCAGAATCCATATATGTGATGTTGGAACTCGTTATATTGTCCCGAAATGCTCTGTTCGCATGAAAAACTGCTACACGTTGTTGACTTGGTCGAAAGAGGTGTGCATTTTTTTCAGGGAGAATAGTATACGGGAATCCTATTGGAGACGTATGAACGAGAGCGGTAAATGTAATGCAACCATTGACGAGGAGATAGCGCATTGTGCGGGCGGATTTGGCAGATGTGAAATGCCATAAGTCAGCAACGAAGATAAGAACAGGCCATGAAACTATGAATAGAATACAAGCTACTGTCACATCAGGCTTCATTAATTGCCCAGATCGGCCAAAAATTGGAATAAACACGTCCAGAAGCATTGCAGACGAGGCTATGTGAAATAAAAGTAAAGGAGGAATAATAAGGAATAGTGATTTGACCGCAGGACTTCCTCCGAAGACCGAAGCCCACTTTAAGTAAACCCAATGAAATGTGAGAGTTAATCCGCACCACAAAGCGGGAAGGTATGAGGCAGGACTATCAAGGGCAAGTGTGAGAATCAACGGAATGTTTAAGATCAAAAGAGCAGCCTGGAAGAAGTCACGCTCAAATGGAACAGAGTTGAGTTGGGGACAGTTTTGGGAACGATCGATCCACAGACTATGTTTCAGAAGCGTACGAAAAGGGAACAGCCTGAATACGCGCGCGTTGGGAATTTTGAAGAAGGATGTGTGGAAAAAAGTACAAAACGTCAAGAGTGGAAGGAAAAATACGCCAAAAATATTATAACGATTCGTGAACCAGGTCATCCGACAGCCCCACGAGTGTGTTGCATAGCCCACTGACATTAAGAATAAAAAGCTACTCAACACGAAAAGAGTTTGGATGAGCAAAGCGAGAAAAAGACCACAGTATGAATCCCTTCCGAAGCGGGAAATTTTGCGAGGCAATAGGACCCAGGATAATGCGAAAAGAC